TATATATATATATACACACATATATATATATATTTATAAAAAATATAAATCCATGCATGTAACCAGCAGGAAACAGACTGGAATATGTTTTGGAAGGACAGCTCTGTTCAAGAACAATAGCTCCTCCATGTTCCTAGATGTACGACAGCCAGTTGTTCTAATAGAATTCCGCAGTTTTTTCCAGATGCTATGGAGCCCTGGAGACACTGCAAGGCAAAAGCTGCTTTTAGGACAAGTTTGAGTTCTCCTCTGGAGGCAGGTCCATACCTTTCACAGCCACATACACGCTTGTGTCACACAGCTCGCTCCAGAGCTGCCAGACGTAACTACAGCAGCCCCAAGTCCCCTGATGTCCCTACGATACCATCTCCTCTCGCAGCGTTTCTCTTCCATATTGTTACGCTAGTGCTGCAGACTCCCAAGAGACCCTCCTTTATCTGCACATTCCTCGCAGCTTGCTGCGGACCGGGGACCCCCCGGTTGTAGACGCAACCTCTCCCTATCGGTGATGAAGGAGGTGTAGCGGCTTGGTGCAAACCACGCTTGGCGCCAGTCAGTGCAGCTCTCGGTAATGTGGGGCAAGGCAGCTGGAGGACGTGCAGGTGGATGAAAGAATAGAGGTTGGTGGGGCACAGCACCCTGCATCACATCACACAGCTGTTTATTCCTTTTTGTGAGACAGTCTTGGCTCCATCTGTGATAACCGTCACATTTTCTGAAGAGTTGTGCCAGCCCCAGTGGGAAGAGGTAAAGTTTCAGGGCTGCTGTTAACACTGAATTTTTCTGCTTTCAGAGATTTCAGTAGAGACACACTTAACGCTGTTAGGGGATTCAAGGCATTGCCAAGCACCAGGGATCCTGCTAATGGTTCTTAACCTGTGTATAGTATTTCCTGATGTGGCAATTAAAAACTAGCAACTAGAAAACCAGAAACTTGGAAAAGAGAGCCAGACTGAGTAATGTATGAAAGATGTGGAACTAATTAATAGGTTGTATAACGTACCAGATTGCACCCAGCATGATATATCCGAAAGTATCTGGATAGCAATGCAGCTCAACCTTTTTTGGCACTGCTGCCTATTTACAATCCAAGTTTACTTGGAATAAGCATTGCAAAACAACTGCACTTAAATAAGAACAATATGTGAAATCCTGGTCGTGTACTATTGACTTCAGTGAACCCAGAATTTTATCCAGTATGCTTATGTTGTACCGTGTTTCTCGTTAGTTGAGGAGTCAAGGTAATTTTACATGTTGTTTACGGCTTTTGCAGGTGATGCTTCTTACCTGCACAAGCACATATTGTTCCTTGAATAGTGACTGATACTGTAAAGTCTGATACTTTAATCCAAGTGAATAAATGGGAATATTGTGGCATTGTGCAGAGACTAACTTTGCAGACCAGGATTTATTCAAAACTTTCTTCGTTGAAGTTGTCTCGTTCGTTGCAAAACCCCTGGTTTCCTTCCCCCAAAAAGGAGAGCCCGTAAACCACCCGCTTCTATGTCAAAAAGCCATTTAACAGTCTCTTTGTAATAAACCTAATCCCATCTGTCCGTGTTGTTATCGTGGAGGAGAGTGGGCATTTTTCACCACAGTGTATTCTGTGCACTTGTCTGACACTGTCAAGCCTGCCCAGAGATGGCAGAGTCTGACACTTGCTTGGGCTCAGCTCAAGATAAGGCTGCGGATGAGGCGGTGTTCCTTTGCTGCCCAGAATTCAGAGAATGTGGCTGTTTGGAAGAGCGCATTTTTGGCAAGCTGCAGTAAACCTTTAACGGGACGTGGGATGCCCCGCTGCTCGCATGGAGCAAAGAAAGAATCAAATGAACACAAACTGATCTGGCTTTGAGAGAGGTAATTTTGGCATCCGAGCAGCATTTTTCCTTTATTACCTTTGGTTTGCCCTGTTGAGCGGTCCAGAGTGTCAGCCCGGTTAAATGACTGGAAATGAAATGAGGTTATGGGAGTCTGAGTTTGGAAATAGGTGGGGAACATCTCAGCGTCAGCTAAATCTAATATCACAGTGCTTTAGTATATCCTTGAATACAGTTCTGCCTTTCATTCTCTGGGGAATTCAAGCAATTTAGTGCT